GCAGCAGCAGTGCAACTCGGCTAAGCAGGCTAGGCAGGGCGGCGCGGCTCGGCAGGGCGGCTCGGCAGGGCGGCGCGGCTCGGCAGCGCAGCGCTCTTACCAGGGGCGAGGCCGGGGCAGGGCCGGGGTAGGGCCGGGGCCGGGCCGCAAAAGATCCGGGGCCGGGTTGGGGCAGGGCCGCGACAGTGCAGGAGCAGGGCAGGGGCAGGGCCGGGGCAGGGCCGGGGCAGAGCCGGGGCAGGGCCGGGGCAGGGTCGGAGCAGGGCCGGGACAGGGCCGGGGCGAGGCCGCGACAGGTCCGGGGCAGGGCCGGGGCCGGGCCGCGGCAGTGCAGGAGCAGGGCCGGGGCAGGGCCGAGACAGGGCCGGGGCGAGGGCCGGGGCAGGGCTGCAACAGGGCCGGAGCAGGGCCGGGGCAGGGCTGCGACAGGGCCGCAGCAGGGCCGCGACAGGTTGGGGTAGGGCCGGGGCAGGGCCGGAACAGGGCCGCGACAGGGTCGAAGTAGGGCCGGGGCTGGGTCGCAGTAGGGCCGGGACAGGGCCGCGACAGGGTCGGGGCAGGGCCGCGAGTCGCGCCGCAACGGGGGCCGCAAAAAGGGGGGGGGCCTGACGGGCCGGACGGAGCCTTACGGGGCCTAACGGGGCTGCTAATGGGGCCTGACTGGGCCTTACGGGGCCTGACGGGGCCTGACGGGGCCGCTAACGGGGCCTGACGGGGCCGTAAACGGGGCCTGACGGGGCCTTACGGGGCCGTAAACGGGGCCTGACGGGGCCTTACGGGGCCGTAAACGGAGTGTGACGTGGCCTTACGGGGCCTTACGGGGCCGTAAACGGGGCCTGACGGGGCCTTACGGGGCTGCGCGGCGCCTGGCTAGGCCGCGATGCGGCTGCTTTGGGGGCCGGCGCTGGCTCTAAGGGCAGGCGCAGGGGCCGCTACGGGCCTCGAAGGGCAGGCGCGACGCGCGCGTCGGGCAGGTAAGAAAAATTTCAGTGGTGGGCCCTTCAAAAAAAACTCGAAACTAGCTCTATACCATGTGAGATAATTGACGAAAGAATGATTGAACTAGAAAACAGAAGGGTACAAGTAGAAAACACAAAAGTGTTGTACCCTCTAAGGACTACCCCACTACAGCCTAAACAGACTATAGTAGATATAAGTTTGACAGTCACCATCGTGCCTTCGCTGCCGAACTGGTTGTCGACGCCGCCTTTGTTGTGCACGGTTCGGTGGGAGGCGAACACACTATTCGGTTTAGTTCGGGGAGGGTGCTTGCACGCTCACTGCTCATGAGTGCCTAGGAGCATCACCTCCAGGCTTGCCTCGCCGTACTCGCCAGCATCGTAGCACCTCCAAACATCAGCCTCCCGCACTGCCATGGTATCCTCTACGCCTGCAGCTTCTCCCAGGATAACCACCAGGGGCTATATGGCTACTGGCCTAACAACGACTTAAGTAAGCAATAAATCGGCTAGTATCTGAAGGTATCTTGCGGGGCCGTCCACGCTCACCGCAACATGCGAAGATTCAATCTACACCAGGGTAGGTGAACGACAAAGGAAGGCACGGGTAGTACAAATGATCAATGCGTTGCTCGTGTTCTCTAGCACTTGCATGCAATTGCACACGTAACAGTAATTCTATCTGGCTGGGAAAAGAAGGGAAAATATGTCGTTCGTAACCATCATGGGACTCGAAAACATTTTTGGTAAAAAAATAAAGGGTACGGTCACTGCAAAGGGTGTTTTCACGCGACTGATAAAGCGTTTCACGGAATCAGTCACAATCAGCTGGTAAAAAAAAAACGCGAATGGTCACAGATGAAACTCCCGCCAAAACAAAATGAAACCCAGAAAGAACCTGGATGCATTTTCGGATGATCAACCCTAAACACGTAACTCGCCAGGTGTTTAGGGTTGATCCGTTCCCAAACCGCATCCGATTCCGATTGGGTTTTAGATTTTTTACAAGTTCGCAGATTGGTTGGGCGCGAGCGGGAATTTTGTTGAGTTTCAAGTTTTTTTGGCGAGAGTTAGTGACTGAATCCGTGACCCCGCTTACCAAACCCGTCAGAAAACCCGATACAGTGACCGTACGCGTTTTTTTCTTACCATTCACGTTATCGAGTTCCAAGTTGGTTACTTGTGGCATATTTTCCCGGGAAAAGAATGTGTTAGTGTAGGAAAGACCAAAATTTTTGACATGTAACTAAATTCCTCTGCTTCAGGGAAGTTCGGCGATTTACCCGGCCTTCACCCAGGCTGAGTGCCGGGCTGATTTTTTGACCGGGCGCCCCAAACGAAAATTATATCCTGACTGCGCACGCAAGAGTGAGAATCAGGGACGACTTGTGCTGACCAGTCAACAGAAATTACGTTGGAATAGTGCTCGCTTTGTATGTGCTGGCGATTACGCCACACGCTTCACTTTCCAACTCTGCCATAGCGCCGAATCGACATTTCATTTTCCCTGCCCCTTCGATATTTCGAGGAATCCAATTTTGTTTCTCTCCGTTTTCATCGCACGTCCGCTGCAGATCTCGGCTGCAGGTGTAACAACAAACGAACACTTGTGGGGACGGCAAGTTCCTTCGTCCTTCCTTCGCACGTTTCGTCGCCAACGAGGCATTTCTGTGCAGCACTTACCTCAACGTCTCACCAAGTCCGCTGGGGACAAGCAAAAGTCTCTCGATCAGGGCTATTGCTAGGATTTTTGCTAGCCTGGACGATCCGGGCCCCTGTGAAAAAGACCCTGTAAAATCCGAGCCAGGGGGAAAAAGCCTTGACAAATCCGGGTTCTAGTCAGAAAAGGTCTGAAAAACTGCATACCAAAATTTCGCGGGATAGGGGAGAGATCGAGAAACTCACGGCACTGGGGCTGGGGGGCTTGGAGCGGCTCTAGAGGGTTGGAGAGAGCCTTTTTGCTGACTTATAAGAAATCTCTGGAAGAGTCAAGTCTAACCCATTCATACGTAGGACGGGGCAATCAGACACTTGAAGGCCAAACCAGGAGCGAGTGGTAAGGAAATTCCACTAAAATCGGCCCACACATAGTACACAGGGAGAGGAGGGGAATGCAAAGCAGGTCGAGGAGAACAAGTGTTGCTAAAATTATACGGGTCCCCTCAGAAACATCCCGGAGGATCCAAGTTTATCAAGAAATCACCCTCAGTTTTACGGGCTGTCTTAAAACTCACCTAGTGAAAATCAAGGCTGGCATGAAAAGCTCTATAATTTGAAGTCAAAACAGGGTAATTGCCCTGCTAGCGTGAGCCCTGCTCTCGATCACGCAACGCTGACTCAGAGTGAGGGTGTTCTGCTCTGCAGCCGAGATGAGATCGTGGCTGCCAGCTAGGTCGTCCACTTGCTTGCGCTGACCGGTTTGTCCTTCAATCCGATTCGACTCGCCTCACCACCACCACTATCACGTCGCGTCAAGCTGAGCTTGCCTGCTTGTTGATCACGGAATATCCCAGCGGACAAGCGAGTCCGCCCGGGGGAGCTCACTGCCCGCGGGCAAAACAAATACTCGTCAATTTACCTCACCACCAGGGCTATTGCTAGGATTTTTTGCTAGCTCGGACTATCCGGGCCCCTGCGAAAAAGACCCTGTAATCCGAGCCAGCGGGAAAAAAACCTTCACGAATGCGGGTTCGAGCCAGAAAATGCCCGAAAACCAGTATTACCAGAATTTCACGGGATGGGGGAGATCGAGAAACTCACAGTGGGTTGCATGAGGGCTGGGGAGGTTGGAGATGAAGGAGTGGCTCTAAGGCGTGGGAGAGGGACTTCAATAAAAATACGATGGAGTACTATAAGCCATGTCGACGTAACAGGGCAATCAGACACTTGGAGGCACCAGTAGAGAATGGTAAGGAAATTCCACTAAAAGTGGGGAATGCAAAGCAGGTCGGGAGAGGAGGGGGATGCAAAGCAGGTTGGGGAGAACATGTGTTGTCACAACTATACGTCTCCTCAAGAACATCCCTGAGGGATCCGAGCTGCCTAGAAAATCATCCTTCAGTTTTACGGTCTGGTCCAAAAATTACCTAGTGAAAATCAGGGTTCCTCTAAACACCTTCCACTTTCAAAAAGGGTAATTGCCCTGATAACATTGACCTTGCTCACCACACACACACCTTCCAATGCATACTGTAGCATTGCATAGAATTGCATCTGATGTGATGGATGTGTGATGTGAGCTCTCCAACCTATCTCCTAATCGGTCCCACGACACGTGTATAATATTCCGTACAGTCCCGTACTATGATTCCAAGAACTACTCCCTCATGTCAGCCTAGCTTGTTTCGGATCGGCTCGGCAGCACCATCCTGCAGAGTTTACGACTCGGCTGTCGAAACATTGTTTGGTGGGGGTGGGGGGAGCTTCAAAACCCTCTCACTGCCTGTGAAATACAGCATAGCACAGGAAGTGCTGACAGCCTCGCAGAATGGTTGCAGTCGTAGCCTGCACAATACCTTCGAATTTTGCCACACACCCCAGATAGCCCTCCCTTCCAACGGTCTCCTTGCCACACCGAAGCCCACGAGCGCATAGCCCGGCATGCTAACCACCACGAATCCTTCACTTAGCAGCAGCAATACCAACAGCATCAGTGCCCTTGATTTCCTCAACACCTCTTGTGGCAGCACTAGCAGCAATTGCAGATCGGAAACTTCGGACAGCGGTCCTAGTACCACCACCAGCGGCAGCGCGGATAATGTCGCACCGCGCAGCAGCAGCAGCACGCCATTGCTCGCGCGGCGCGGTCGGGTGTCACCGCTGCCCCGCGTGGAGCTACCCATCCGAGCCGCGGCAACACTGCTACCTCAGGCTTTAACCAAGCCATCACTAGAGCACTCGCAAGTCCAGCCTCTGCAACTCTCTTGCGCGCCACGGAAGCTACTTTTACCGCACCAGGAACAAAAACGCGCCGCCGGTCCGGAGTCCGGCGACCCCCGCCGGTTGCAGCTGCGCGTTGCAATCCCTTCAAGCTCCGCCGCCATGTCACCGTCAGCTTGTCATGAAGACGCACCGCCGGATTGTGAAAACGCGGCACGATTCGGGAATGCCGCCGTGGCGCATCGCGGGAATGACGTCGCGCGGAGCATCAGCGCGGCCTCCGCCGGAAATCGCCGCCGCCCGGTGGAGCTGGAAACATTCGCGGCGGAAGGCGCCGCGGCGGAAAGCGACGACCACACTCCCAGCCCTCGCCGCAGTAGCAGCGATTCTGTAAGCCATCGTGCCGCGAACGACTCGGCGCGAAGAGGCGCTCAGTACCATTCTGATCGACGCTCTATCTCCGCCGCCGCAGCCGCCGCAGCCGTCACACCCGCCACACCCGCCACACCCGCCGCAGCCGCTGCAGCCGCTGCCAACGACAATGGTGTCTTCAACAGGGATCATCGCCCGCACTTGTTTGTCAAATCGGCGACAATAGCGGGACCCGACTCGGATGGCAGAAAGTACAGGACTTGTAGTGGGAGTTTGGGAGGCTCGCCGCCACATAAGCCGCCGCACCATCTGCCGTATCAGCCGCCGTCAAGAACGCAGAACTCGCCGGTTGCGGTTGCGGCACAACCGCGCCACATCGGCGTCTCCTCGACGGCGGCGGCGACGGCAGCCGCGGCGCAGGTGTACGCGAGGCGCGTGGAACGAGGCTTAACAACCATGGGGAGTCGCTCCTTTAGCGGCACTACAAGTCGCCGATCTGTCCAGCTGGCACTTCAAAAAATTCGACAACCAACAGCTCTCTCAGTCGAGTCACCACTGTCGGTGTCCCCATCCTCCGAAGTTTCCTTTCCCTCCGTCTCCCCTTGCGAGCAACTTCGGGTCCCGCGGCCGCCAGACTACCGCCGAGACACATTAGTATGGGCTGACCTATCCCCCGGGAATATTGCGGCTGCGTCTGTGGCTGCTGCTGCGGCGGCGGCGGCGGCTGGGGCGGAGTACTATTTGCGTGACAGTCAGGGAAGTCCGACTATGTGCGCAGCGGCAGCGGCAGCCGGCGCCGAACAAGTCCGCGGAGTACGGCGCGCCCAGTGTCGCCCAGCGGCGGCGGTGCGGATGCAGGGGCGGGCGGCGCGTTCTCCCTGGGGGAAGCCGCCTCGACAGGCCCGAGGGTGATGCGGCGGGCGAAAACGCTTCCGCTAAGAGGGGAAGACGGGGTTGGCGGACTGTTTTGCGTGGAGGTCCCGTCCCCGCCCGCGTATCCCAAGCCCGCGCATCCTTCCCCGCGCACGCAGCGCAGCCTGCAGTGGCTGGCGAACTTCCGCGGCCAGCCGTACTCACCCCCGGCAGTAGCAGCCGCAGCAGCAGCGTCGCGGAAAACTGCTACAGATGGCGGTGCGGCTGCGAGAGGCGGTGGGGCAGAAGACAGTGGAAGGGAAGCAGAAGCTGATTCTGTGGGAGTCCGACTAGCCGCTGGGGACGACTGTTGCGGGGCTGATCAGAGCAGGCGCCATGTTGGTCGAAGCTGCGAGTTCAAACGCCGCCTGTCGCCCCTGTCCCCTTTCTCCCCTTCCGCCCCATTTTCACCCTCCGCCCACTTCCCCCCCTCCGCCCACTTCTCTCCCTCCGCCCACTCCTCGCCTTCCGCCAATTTCTCGCCGTCTGCCCATTTCTCCCCTTCCGCCCACTTCTCGCCCTCCGCCCACTTCTCGCCCTCCGCCCACTTCTCGCCCTCCGCCCATTTTTCCCGCTCCGCCCACATCTCCCCCTCCGCCCACTTCGCGCCCTCCGCCCACTTCGCGCCCTCCGCCCCGTCCTCGCCACTACCCTTCTCTTCGTCGAGCTCCTCACCGTTTTCGAGACCGCCTGCAGCCCCCGCGCTCCAAAACCGGGTCTCCGCAGCCCGCTCGCGCTGCTGCGCACGCGTCTAACTGCCCGCGGTCCGAGTACAAATGCCCGCGGTCCGAGTCCAGCTGCCCGCGATCCAATCTCTGCCGCGAGGGCCACGCGCAGCAGCAGCGATTTCTTATCGCCGCCCAGGAGATGGGATATCGCGAACAGCACCCGCAGTCGCGGCAGACCATGACGGAAGGAGAAGAGGAGCAACCGCCGAGATCGCGGCAAATCAAGACGGAAGGAGAGGAGGAACAGCGGCCGCGGTCGCGGTCGCGACAGGCGAATCATCAGCTAGTACTACAGACACCGGCCGGGCGAAGCGCCGTGATGATCACGCCGCGCGCGGGCGGCGCGGGGCCGTCATCCAATGGCCACGATCACGACGGGCTGAATCCGCCGCGTCATCAGCAGTACTACTCTCGACCTACGGCCGCTGCAGCTGGCGCGCCGCGCTATGGCCCTCACGAAGCGCACTCCGCCGGACGCGCTCCTAACAATGTCTCCGCTTCGAACGTAAACCCGTTGGGTGCTGACGTGGCGCGGGTTCAATGCCGCGCGGTCTCGCCGCGGTACTACACGTCTATCCGTCCTCTCAGCCTGGCGGGCGACTCGCGCGGGCGCGCGCGCGTCGAAGGCGCGAGCCCGGTTTCTCCCGTGTCGCTGGTCGCGCAGCGCCTGGAGGTGTGGTTCGAGGAGGCCGCGTCAGCAGGGTCGTGGCCGCATTCCCGCCACGGCTCATCCCGCGCATCAGTCGCGTCAGCAAGATCATGATGACTAAATCCAATACTATAACCTCAACCTTCTGCCACCTGCGCTGCCTGTGCATTATTAGCCGACGTGGAAACCCTAAGGTTTTGTCAGTGCAATGGTGTGGAGGTTGGGTGCTGCTGGTGGAGATGGTGGAGCTTTGCTGCTGGTGGTATACCACCACGCTCTCTGTTCCCATAGTCGTCGTGAAACAGAGTGCGGGGTTAGAGTTATTTAAAGCGACGGTGCACATTTGCCACCCAAAACCCAGAACCCTGGCGAACTGTTACTGCGGATGGAAAGTGTCCGCACGAAATCCTGGTTTTCGCCAGCCAGCACTTTCGCGCTGGCAAGCCTGGTTCAAAAAAAAAACTTCTGAACCCAACACTGCCAAAAGTTGCCCGTCGCTTTAATAGTCCAGGTGGAACTTGGTGCGGGCGGGGTGTGTTGCGGAGCGTGCAGCAGCAGCTGGCATGTTCTCGTCGACCTCTACTAAGCCTGATCTGCAACTGACGATCTTCTGAAGCTGACCTGCAACCGACGATCTTCTAAAGCTGATCTGCAACCGTCGATCTTCCAAAGCTGATCTGCAACTGACGATCTTCTAAAGCTGATCTGCAACCGACGATCTTCAAAGCTGATCTGCAACCGACGATCTTGTAAAGCTGATCTGCAACCGTCGATCTTCCAAAGCTGATCTGCAACCAACGATCTACGAGCTGATCTGCAACCGTCGATCTACTAGTGCGTGTTGACTAACGTGTTCCTCCCATTCTTGCGGCAACAGACTACATGCTGCTGTTACCTGCTAGTGTGACTTTTGAGTCGACTCACAAGTCTTGCAGCAACAGACTACATGCTGTTACCTGCTCGTGTGACCCACAGCTTATCAACAAGTGCAAGTCCACATCCACCTCACTGGAACTTTCCAACTGCTAGTAGTGTCCAAGATGGATAGAATAATTGCTCATACTCCTCTCCTATCACCAAGCTCACACCAAAGGGGGGTGTTGTCTCTATTGGGTCTGATGTCACAACGATCTCCTTACAAGTCTCTTGCAATTGGTGGGGAGGGGCTCTCTTACATATACTGCTCATATTGTTTCCAACATAATATATTATATAATACTTGTAATGGTCAGATATTTCCTTCGCCAGACTGTACAATAACCAAAGAAACACTACATGACAAGACACTCTCCAATTCCCAGGCATGCTTTAGTGCTGAGGCAGAAATCAGGTGATACAGTAGATAGAAGGATTCCTTTTTTCCACATGACACAGCATCAGCATTGCACAGCACTACCTTATGGCCTACACTACGTTTCCAACAAGACAATCGCGCAGAAAGATACTCCTCAGCAGCCCAACCAACCACACCTGCATATTTCAGTCGAAACACACAAATTACTCCAACCTAGTACTCTTTCTCCTGGGTAAACCAACCGCTCCTACCCCTAGTCTTACACCAGACCCCATTCTACTCTCGCTCATTAATCCTTCAGTCAAGGCCGTAGCAGCAGCACCAACAACCATGGGAGCATCTTGGTTCGGTACTGAACCAGACCCACTTCTCCCAATCCCTTGGGACGACCCAGGTCTGGATCCGGGCCTGGATCCGGGCCTCGAGCCTTGGCCCGACCCAGGCCTTGAGCCTGAAGCGGCGGTTGGGACATGGCCCCAGGACCTGACATTGTCACCTGGCTGTTGCTGCTGCTGCTGCTGCTGCTGCTGCTGCTGCTGCTGCTGCTGCTGCTGTTGCTGCTTTTGCAGTGGTGATAGTGGTGGTGTTGCTGCTGCTGGCAGTTGTGATGGTGCGTGATACGGCGGCAGAGGCTGGTGATGGCTATTGAAACTGGACGACCGGGGAACCAGCCTCGAGTGGTCAGATGAGTGCGCTCCGAGCCCCTGCCTCTGCCCCTGCTGCTGCTGCTGTGCCGCTGCTGTTGACTGGGATCCCTGCAGCTGCTGCGGCTGAATCGGTTGGTGGTGGCTGTTGAAACTGGAAGACCGGGGAACCAACCTTGAATGCTCAAAAGGCTGCGCTACCTGCCCCTGCTGTTGCGGCAGCAGCGGCGGGTGGTGGTCGTTGAAACTGGACGACCGGGCAACCAACCTCGAGTGATCAGATGATTGCATTCCCTGCACCTGTTGCTGCTGCGGCTGCAGTGGCTGGTGGTGGCTGATGAAACTGGACGACCGAATAACTGACCTCGAGTAATCGGACAATTGTGCTCCCTGTACCTGCTGTTGCTGCTGCACCTGCTGCTGCAGCTGTGCCGCTGCATTTGCTGACCTCGGGAAATCGGACAATTGAGCTCCCTGCACCTGCTGCTGGGGCAGCGGCGGCTGCTGATGGCTGTTGAAACTGGAGGAGCGCGGAATGGACTCTGACTCAGACCTTGGTAAGGGCACGCGAGGTCTCTCGTGTGTTGGTGCTCTCTCCCTCTCACCACTGCCACTCACACTCACAACCCCCCCTGCATGTCTTCTCACCCTACCCACTCCTCCTCCTGTCCCTCCTGCTCCTCCTGCTGTCCCTGCTCCTCCTGCTCCTCCTCCTCCTGCTTCAGAGCCTGCCCCGAGTGCTGCTGTCTGGGACGCCATGCCTTGCGTCACGACATCGACCGATACACTACGAGCCACACCATGCCACCCACCTGCACCACCACCAACACCACCACTGGTGACCCCCTCGCTCTGTGCCTGCCCCCGCCCTCCTTCCTTTGACCGTTTGGCCCATGCTGCCAGAGCAGCACTCGCACTGCTTGCCTTCTCTAGAGGAACCCTCTGCTGCTGCTGCTGCTGCGGCTGCTGCTGCTGCTGAAGGTGCTGTTGCTGCAGTGATAGCTGTTTCTGAAAGAACTCCCTCCCATCGTGCTGCTGATCCGCTGAAACAGCCCGCGGAAGCTGCACCTTCCCCTTCCGGACCTGCCGCATCCGACCCTCTAGCAGTGGTTGGGAGACGCCCGACTGCTGTGCCTCCTGCTGCCGAGCCTCCGGCTGCCGAACCTCCTGCTGCTGAGCCTCCGCCAGGCGCTGCTGCTGCTGCTGCAGGTGCAGAGGCCGTTCCTGCATCAACCCGGGGCCCCAGGGAGGCCTTGCAGAGGAAGGGAAGGCAGACGAGAGAGAAGCAGAGGGAGGGAGGGAGAAAATGGCTGGTGCTGATGATTCTGAGCGTCGTTCTTTCATGGAGAGGGAGGAGGGGAGGGTCATGGCTGCTGCTACTGCTGCCCGCGTCGGCAGCTGAAACCCGCTCGACCTCCGGGTTAGTTTCCGAAATGCCCTTGGTGATTTGACAGGCAAGTCAAGAGACACCCGTTCGGCTGGGAATTGCCTCTCATCCCCGTCCTCCTCTCTTCCCTCCTCTCTCCCTCCTTTCCACTCTTCGCCGGGTAAGAAATCCGCCCTGCCTGCCCCCTCTCCCCTGCCTGGCGTTTTCGCACTGCCTCCCCCATATCCCCTGTCCCCCTCACCCCCCCTGTTTCCCCCATCCGCCCTCTCTCCGTGTCCCGAGGGGCGGGGGGAGCGGAAACCGCCCGGGGAGAGGAAGCCACGAGGGGAGAGGAGGGAATGTGGGGAGAGGAGAGCACGGGGGGACTTGGCCCCAAACATATCGCCCATGCCTGAAGCCCAGGTCTTGGTGGGTGCAAGGGGGGCGAGTACCTTCATTGATGTTTTCACCGATGTTTTCATTGCTGCTGCCAGCCCCGACCCTGCTGCTCCTAGCTTCGTTCGGCCGCTCCTGCTTGCGGAACCACCAGGATTGGCACCACTGGCAGCAGTGGCATTATCGTTAGCAGCACCAGCAGCAGCACCAGCAACAGCCCCAGCAGCAGCAGTGGCGGCGGCGGCGGCAGCGGCAGCGGTGGCGGTGTCCCAATTCCCTGCCCTTGGTGCATCGCCCCTGTGAGGGCTGAGCAGGTGGATACCCTTACCCACCCCTGCCACCCCGTGAGGCCCAGAACACCCCCTCCGCCACCCCCCACTTGACTTTGGCCGCCCTCCTGTTGGTGTCGCCCCTCCTGCTCCTGCTGCTGCCCCTGCTGCTTCTACCGCTGCCCATCCCGTTCCTCCTGCTCCCCCCGCCTCCACCATTCCATCTCCAAGATCCCCTGTGCTGCTGTCACCCCACTGCATCTGCTGCTGCTGCTGCTGCTGCTGCTGCTGCTGCTGCATCTCATACCCGATGGGAGAGTGGTGTGGAGAGCTCTCGAAAGCACACTGCGTGTCAGACCAGCTAGTCGGCAACCGAGGGGCAGAACCGGCTTGAGAAACAGCGGAAACC